TCAACTGATTTAAGAAGTAGTTAAATTTTCCCTATAAACTCATCTCTTACCCATTCATGTGACTTTAGAGAATTTTCAGATACTCAAAGGTAATTAACAACTAAAAACAATGAAGAACTGTAAGCAAGCTAAATATCCCTTTACTTTCTGCTTGAAGTATTTCTTTTCTGTTAATATCATAATTTACTCAATTATAGTCTTCGTTTTGCAAAATACCTATTTTCTGAGATCAAAGCTCTTTTGGGGGGTGGGTGGGAGCTGTATAATTATATGTAACAAAAAAATAGGCATTTCCTCACAAAACTAACCAAAGTAACCAGAGACCCTATTGACGATTAGTGACGATCGACAAAACGGTACTGTTTGCAAGTCATTTGGAAATGACAATGCCAAGTGTGCTAAGTCACTTGATTACACTATAATTTATAGATCCTCTTTTGGATACAAGATCACTTAAATTTCAAATAAAGAAGTCAAAGAAAGCTGTCCCTAGCATCTGAGACTCTGTACATGCTAGTTCAAGTTTCTCTTTTTTAAAGTAGATGTATAGATAATAACTTCCATTTTCAAAATAGTATTTTAGTTATCCTTATGTTTATAAAGAAATGTGCAGAAGATAATAGATGGTCAACAGGAGTCTAGAGCTTTTACCCTGAGTATAATGTTTTTGTTCCTTTAGGTTTTATAGAAGACATTGTTTTTTTCTTTTTAGCTGTTTAGTTGCTCCTGTGTCATAGGTAATAATGATAAAAATCCAATCAAGTCATTGAAAATATAGCTAAAAATTTAAAAAATAAAAAATTTAGCTAACAAAACTTTATAGTTGAAACATGGTATTTAATTTGGCCATGTGGTACAATTTTTCCCCACGAAAATGTGGAAAGATGAGCTGTGATATGACATGTATCTAAGTAAGTAGGTGCTAATGTCCAGGTATCCTACAGATGCAATCTAGAACATGTGGAAACCAGCTCATTGACAAAATGGCAAGTGAAAAGAAAGGCTCTGTCCAGGTACATTAGGTTTGGTTTTTGAAAGTTCAAAGCAAATTGAAAAAACAGTCACACTGGACAAACAATGCCATAACTGGGGGGGGAAAAAAAGTGGGTCTAACGTTGTGATTTCTCACTCTTGGCTGTGAAGTACAGGAGATTTGATTGTTGGGGGTGTTCTAGGGTGGTCAACCATCCCATTTGCTCAGGACTGAGGCATTTCCAGGGATGTGGGGATTTTAGTGTTCAAACCTGGATAGTCTCAGGTATACAGGAATGGCTGGAAAACCTAGGGTACGTTTTTACATCTTTCACCTTACATAATATGAGCCAGGCACTGCTTTCTGGATTTGGCTCCATAATCAGTTTTATGAAGCGTTTCTATTGAGTTCATTTGTTAATGGTATAGTTTCATTAGAAAGTTAGTAACGATTCCTGTAAATCTTGACTGAGTTAAGTAATGGCTTAATTACCAGTTATACAAAATATTCTATGTTTAATTTTACAGAAGTTCAATTAAGTGAGCAAATTCCTTCAAATTGGGCAATCGATGCTTTTTCTTGTCACTTCCCAGATGATTTTTTGTTATACAAGAATGGGGCTCTTAGAAAGTTATATATTAAAAAAAAATCCTTTTTCAACTTGAACTAGTGATTTCTAACTCCATTTCCTTTGAGGAAGTTTACATACAGACTGTGCACTAAAGATGTAGAAAAATAAAGTGAGTCATCAATGGGTTACAATATACTCTCCATTCATCCAACTTTATTTTGGAGCAGATGAATATCTGTTGTCTTTGAGGTAGATGATATCTCATGGAGAAACTATTAATTTATAAAAATTTATTTATACATGACTCTAGATATGTAAAACTGAAATGATCTTCATGTAATTTTATAGCTGCCAAGGATGGTGCCTGTCATTTGAAATTCTCAGTGTGAATGACTCCCCCAGCATCAACCTCAGTTGACAAAAATTACCTGAAAAAAACCTGCTCACTGTGAATTGATGTTTGGATATTACATTGCATTTTAAACCCCTGTTTTTGCACAAAACTGAAAAAATTCTGGACAAATCCTTTTAGGAGGAGTGAAAGGATCACATTTTTACTAAAGGTTAAAACACAGACAGCTGGTTAAATGTATATTTATAAAATAAAGTACATTTAAAAATATATAGTGGTATTTAAATTATTAGGTGCCATCTGTGATTGGTCATAGTGCATTCAAAGTACAGACTGAAACAGTACAGATTTCAGCCATCACATAAATGTCCTCAGTTTTAGGTTATGTAATGATAAATGGTACCTGCTGAAAACTACACATGGAAAAAAATTTTTAATACAAATATTGCTCATCCACAGGCATTCATTTATTCCGATCCCGTGACCATGGTAAATGTGTTTGGATTACTGGGCATAAGAACGCAACATTTAAAAGGGAATGGAGATCTTTATTAAAACAGAAGGCTCCTCAAACTCCTCAATGATGTCAGTAATATAGGTCCTTGGAGCACATTATTGTTTTAAGCAGAGGTCCCCACACTTTCTCATTGGTTATAGAACATTATTTTGTGCTGCTGGCCTGGAATGAGAATGTCATACATCTGTAGGCAATTAGAAGAAGCTGGACTAAATGTTTGATTAGCTCAATAATAAACGGGCATAAGTGTGACTCGACTTATGTTAGTCAGATTCCCTAGACAGATTATCCTGTTGTTATCATATGAAATAACCCCCTTTTATCAACAATTAAGTAAATCCACATTTGTAGGCACTTTGTAAAACTGTGAGGTGGGAAGAAATCCAATTTAAGCCTTAAGTCATCCAAAAAACTTGTAACCCTGCTTCCAATGACATAGCCCCTCCCCCCATCCCAAGTTTTAGAAATTGGTTGAATTATTCAGGACGGTTTGGGTTGGAAATACCCCATGTGCAATCAATAAGTATGTACTCAGCATCTACCATAAGGCATTTAAAATTTTAGCCTATAACTATAAAAATTTCCCGAAGAAGTTAAGAATTATAAATGTTTTAATATGTGAAAAATAACTTACTTTGTAAGGTAGTCTAAACTTTTTAAAGAAAAGTTAAATAGGATTTCATTTTTATTATTCACATTTTATTATACAGTTTCTACTATAACCAGTGCATATTGTAAATCCTGAATATGTTTAATTCTAGAAGTTACTCATTCGGTTATAGGCATCATTTTTCAATTCAACCACAATTGTCAATGATGAGCTACAAACTACTTTGGGGAATAACCCATTCATTTCTCTGTTGTTTTTTTTCTTCTAAGTACCAGTGAAATATACACCTGAAGTACAAAAAACAATTCAGTATATAAAAGTCAATACTTAAAAAATTTCAGCAAAACATTTCAGTTTCAGGAAAAATATGACCAAACCTTCCAATATAATTATATATTTCAATAACACAATTAAAAGTTGGTATCTTAAGTAAACTGAGGTATTTTTTTATCAATATTCACTCAAATACATATATGTCAAATAACCTCATGAGGTTATCTCCTTGACATAATCCTTAAATTAAACATCAGAATATCAAGCAGATGCTGAAGCATTCATCATCAATATTGGAATTCTGACTCATAACAGTAACACGAAACAGATGCTAATATGATGGGCTCTCTGAAAAGTGACACCATTACAGCATGGGCTAACTCTTGATGTAGGGTACTTAAAATTTGAACACAAAATATAAAATAAAAAATCAGAGCATGATCTATGTCCTTACTTCATTTAGAAGCCATTTAAAACCTACTATTTCCAATACAGAAGATATAACTCAACCCTGGTGAAGAAGGGGATGCACACCAGGGGACCAGAGATGCTTTTTTCACTTAACGCAGCAGCTAATTGATCCCAATTGAGCTGCTTGGTGTTGAGGGAGGAAGGTCTCTCTGCCTCACTCATGAGCAGGTAGAAAATAAGAACGTTTGGGCCCTTTCCATTGACACATATGTCTCAGGTATTTATGGTATAATGTAGGGTCTACTCAGTCAGCCCTGCAGTGAAAAAGGAATCTGGGGCTCCTACAGCCTATCTCAGTAACACAGTCTTCCACATCAGGCGGATCTGAAAGGGTTTGCTAAAGAGGAAAAGGGAAACAAAATCCCTTAGCACAGTCCAGTTAGCTAATATCCTACACGTCTTCAAAGCCTAAGATTCTTATCGCTTTGCTAGCATGAGTCTACAGCTGTTTCTAGAATACACAGTGATGTGTACTCTTTGTGAAAATAAACAGAAAAACCCAGGCAGATGGTGCTATGGTGCAAGTGATATAAGTGAAATACGTTCAAATGAGACCTTTAAAAGACCTATGAATGTGAGCGGGGGAGACGCCCTCAAAGGTACTGAGAAGCAGGCACTCCAGTTTTTTATTCCTCAGTAAGGAAAAACAGTCAGTGGCAAGTTCAATGAAAAGAAAGTTTGAGAAGCCAAAAGGGGATATTGATGGAGTAGCTTGACAGTACAAATTCCCAGTGAATACCCTGACTGCCCCTTCTGACAGCTGCAGACTCGGGCCCCGCCTGGCTGGCTTTGAAGGAGGGCTCTGCACTCACCACCTGTGTAACCTGTGGTTCTCAAACTTGGCTGCACGCTGGAACCACGTGAGGAGCTTTCAAACATACAGATGCCTGGAACCCCCCCCCCCTCCGAGACTATTATTTAATTGGGCTGGGGTAGGGCTTGGACATGGAGAGGTTTTAAAGGCTCCCAAGTGACTCTAAATATGGGCAGCTAAGGTTGAGAACCGTTGGTGACCTCTGAGCCACAGTTTCCTCATTTGTAAAATGATGACTATACAGACAGCAACCACCTTTTAGGATTACTGTGATGATAAAATATGATAATGTGGGAAAAGCATGTGTAGTACAATGTCTGGCACGTGTGGGAAGCTCTCAAAAATTTGTGAGTTGTTATTGTCACTACGAGGTGCACTTGGGCAAGAAGCTTCTCGTTAGTGTCATAAATCATGCTTACCTTGGCAGATGTTATGCTCACTCTGCTCATAGCCTGTTGCACACTGGATCCGGTGAGAAGGGTTGGAGGAAATGCGCTGAGGGTCAGCTGGGTTCCTCCGGATGACAAAGTTATTTCGGCCAGTCTGCACTTCTGGGCCTGCAACTGCAGTAGCGCTGGCGACAAAACCACCCCCAGGCATAGCTCCACTGGTTGCCATGCCACTGGCTGCTATACCCCCAGCTGTACCTGAGGCTGCGGCTGCATTTGCGGCTGCACCCACATTTTCAGACACTGGTGTTTCTTGTTGAGGTTGTTCATTGTTGACGATAATCTGGGCTGTTTTAGGAAGGCAAAGGTATCCTCCATAGTGGTTGACACATTTCATTCCGCCTTTGCAAGCGTCTGGGACAATGTCACATTCATCAATATCTGTGGTCAGTAATAAAAGAAGTCAGGAATCTTCTTAGGGGGACAACTGAACATGCAAATATATGCTCATGCCTTATTAGTAGAATACAAATAGGACAGGAAAAGTGACAGGAGATGGAGTCAGAAAGCTATGTTCAGATGGAAAGTCTTGGAAACTGGCTCACCTTTGCATTGTTGTCTTACAGGATCCCACTCATATCCATCTGTGCATTGCTGTGAAGAAAATATCAAGATGGGGCCAAAATACAGTTAATTGGGGTATCCAGTCCCTAGGAAGTCACTCTAATAGCTTCATTCTTATGGCAACAATCCTTGCACTAGAGTCCTAGACAGATGATGAGATGGGTAGTTAAAATTTTCTAGCTTTTCTTTCTTTCTTTCTTTCTTTCTTTCTTTCTTTCTTTCTTTCTTTCTTTCTTTCTTTCTTCCTTTCCTTTCCTTTCCTTTCCTTTCCTTTCCTTTCCTTTCCTTTCTTTCTTTCTTTCTCCATTTTTTAAAAGATTTTATTGGGGAATTGGGGAAGGGGAACAGACAAGTGCTGTCCTTTTGTTCTTCAGTCTAGTTGTGGAGGACGTCGCTTCACTGGCCCATATTGGTATTGTGATCATTGCGCTCTTCCTGAGTTAGGCAGTCCCTCGCCAGCCATTGGACAGCCGCTCACGCCGGCTGCTGGCCACTCATTCTGGCTGCCAGCCATTCACAGTAGCTCACGGCAGCTCACTGCAGCAGGCGCTGCAGCCTACGCAGTCGCCGGCAACTCACGGCAGCCCAACTCCAAGTGGAGCTGTTGTTCACCATCTTAGCTGTATAGGGCGCAGCATCACTGGCCCTCATGTGGGATCTGAACCGGGGCCCTGCTGCTCAGAGCTGGCACTCCCAAGCCAACTGTTAACCAATGTACCACTTGACCGGCCCACTTTTCTTTTTTAAAGACAAATCTGTGCATTGGCCCACTTCAGGCAGCCCTGCTCAATCACCAGTTGCCTCAACTCTTCTGTTGTGTTTGGTACAGTCACCCATGAATATCTTCTTGGAATTCTTTCCTGTCTTGATAACTAATCTCCAAGCTCTCTGACTACTCTGCTTTTTGATTGCTTTATTACCTCTTCCACATTGTAAATTTTACCAAAAAAAAGAAAATCAACCAAATTCTTTTTTTCTGCCCTTGACTATTCCTTCTCTTTCTAAATCCTCTTAGCACATTCTAGCACCTGGATTTCCTTATTGTTCCTAATTCAGCTGAATCCAGAGCCTCCCTCTCACACCCTGGCCTGCCTCCTAGTTTCAGTTCCCACAGGTCCTCTTTCGTTCATTCACTGAACAAACCATCTATCAAGTACCTTCTCACACAAGACACCATCCTAGTCCCTGGGAATGCAAAGATCATGAAGACTTTGTCCCTGTCCTCAAGTAGCTCATAGGCCAGAAAAGGAGACAGACAGGTAGACGAGTGGGAGCAAGATGTTAGGTGCTCTGACACAGTATATATGTTGAAGGAGTGATGGACTCTGCCCAGGGATGTGGGTGGCCATAACGGTAGAAGGGAAGGCTTTATGGGGGAGGCCACAAGTGAATAGGGCCTTATAGGATTTTTCCTGGGGAGATGTGTGAATTCTAGGATGAGGGACCACTGTAAACAAAGATGTAAAATTGTTAAAGAGGGGAGGAGCTGCTAGTAGTTCTGGGTGGATGGAGATGAGGTTGGAGAGGTAGGCAGGGCCAAATGTGGGAAGCCTTTCTCTGGGACAGACAGGAACTGAGTTCTTACTGAACTGAAAGTCAGTGAATCCCAAACTGTATTATGGTTAAGAATAACCCAGTGTGCTTGTTAAAATGCAGTTTACTGGGCCCACTGACTCTGGGTCTGAAACCTGAATGCCTAACAAGCATTCCAGGTGATTCTAATACAGGTCATTTGTGGGCTACTTCTTGAGAAAAGAAGAAAGATGCTTCAGGAAGTATTGAGCAAAAGTAGGGTAAACAAACAAATGAACTTAAATTCTTTTAATAGAGCCAAGAGTTGTTTATATACATGACAGATGCTTGGCAAGTAAATAGCTGAATGGAGACAGAGAGGTCAATTTAGATATTTTACTGATATCTGAAACTTAACAGGGCAAACACTAAACTCACTGTATCTCCCAAATTAATTTTCTAGTTTTCCCAACACTGTCCAAAACACTGCCATCGTTCTCAGGATTACAATTTTGACATTAGCATTGACTTTTCCAATTGTTTTACAAGTTCTGCTCACTGTGTGTCCATTTCTGTATCTACCAATTGGTATAAGCCTTCCTGCCTCATGAGTAGGCAAGTCTCCTTAGCAGCTGGGCTTCCTATCGCTACATGCTGCACACAGCCTCCATGGCAAGCTCCCTTGTTCTCTTGGTTATGTTGTTCCTCCATCTAAGAAATGACAGTGGCCTGCAGGCCTCTCATCTCCCATGCTTATCATCTCCAGGTTCTCTCCACTAACCAGCTCCAGCCTATCTGGCTTTGTCACCTCCTGGACTCATTTTGATCATTTTCACTCCTAGCCTTTGATTATGCCAATTTTTTTTTTTTAAGATTTTTATTGGGGAATGCGGGGATGGTAACAGTGCTGGGGAATTGGGGGAAGGGGAACAGACAAGTTGCTGTCATTTTGTTCTTCAGTCTAGTTGTGGAGGACGTTGCTTCACTGGCCCAAGTTGGCACCATCATTACGCTCTTCCCGGGTGAGGCAGATCAGTCACTGTCTTCTGGACGGCCACTCACTGTGGCTGCTGGCCGCTCACGCTGGCTGCTGGCTACATACAGTAGCCCATGGCAACCCACTGCCATAGGGGCTGCAGCCTACGCCATTGCTGGCGACTCATGGCAGCCCAGTTCCAGGTTGAGCTGTTGTTCAGCATCTTAGCTGTATAGGGCAGTGTCACTGGCCCGCATATGTGGGATCCGAACTGGGGCCCTCTGGCGTCCCAAGCCAGTTCTTAACCATCGCGCCACCTGGCTGGCCCTGATTATGCCAATTTTGATTGAGGTGCCTCTTCAGCCTTTCTAGATTAATCCAAAGTCATCATCACTTCCTTCAAGAACCAACACAGAGTTCTATGTCCTCCAATATGCCAGACTGACATTAATTACCTCCTTGCTTTTCTATTGCTTGAGCAACTTGTATGAGCTGTATAATATTATTTGTACTTGCTTAGGAACTTTGTAGTTTTCAATGCTGTCTTCCCAGGGTAAATTCCCTGAGATTAAGGTCTGAATTTTCTTAGTAAACAAATAAACTTAAATCCTTTTGATAGTGATGATAATTTCTTATGTACATGGAAGATACTGGGCAAGTAAATACCTGAATGGATCCTATCTTTAATATGGAAGGGAAATATCTGCCTATCTTGTGGATATGAGCCCATCCTCCTGAAAAATATCTTTCAAGCTAGGCAAGATGACCATTCACTTGAATAATCTGTATGCTAATAGAAAAGAAAGTTTGTTTTAGGTATTTAGTTCCAGTACCTTTAATATGGATCTATTATTAAACAAGCCTAGAGTGAATTTAGGTTCAACACTTGCTGGCTGTGTAGCTTTATGCAAGTGAGATACTATCTCTGATCTTCAGTTCTATCGACAGAAGGAAGATGATACCACTTACCTCATACTTTGCTGAAAGGAGAAAGAGCCTCCATAGTGAGGTACTCAAAAAAATAGTTACATCTTTTCCTTTAACCATGAATTATTAGGCATGCACAATTCAAAAGAGAATAGACCTAATCTTAGCACAGAAATGATGTTATAGCTGGGAAATCTGTTATAATAATAGTGAACCCTAGTTAGTAATCTTAAAACAATAGTGTTGAATCTACAGGGAACTTTCTCTGCTAAAGATGAATAAGATTCAGGAGATTAGCAAAAGGAAGGGGGTATAAGATAAGCAATTGTAAAAGCAATAAAAGTTTTTATTAGGTGAATATAAAAATGGGTAACTCATTATATTTTAGCTCCCTGAGAGCTAAAGGTAACCTCAATAACAAAACACTTTCATTTGAAGATAAACAACACATGTATTCATTTCTCTTGCTTTATTTATCTTCAGCAGAGGAAGCAATTACATTTACCATTAAGTTAACAAAATATTTATATTAAACTTTATTTAATTTATAGTTGATCTGAAAAACAACAAGGAACATTTGCCAGATGAATACTAACGTTCTAGGGATAATATAGTACCCAAAAAGTGAGATAATGTTTATTATCAGTAATTGACATTAGCTCACTTTTAAGAGTTTTACTTAAAATTTTTTTTTTCATTTTTTTGAGTAGGATTACTTAATTTTAAATTGGGAGCAAGTAGAAAAATATGTTTTTCATATTCTGATCCAGGACAAATGTCATTTGCCTCACAACACTGATTAAAGAATAGAAAACACAAAACAGAGGTGCACATTCGCCAGAAGTGAAGTAAGTACTACCCTCTGTTCTCACCACATCCGCTTCTGACAGTGGGGAAAGGTCAGAAGATATTTTCAATATTTTAATAAACATCCGTTATACCCAGGCAATGAACTAATTAATTAAACATTACTTGGAAATCTCAGATATGCTAATTAGAAAATGCAAAACCAAATTTCACACAATGCATTTTGAAACCACTTTAGCAAATACCACATCCTGGTAACACATAAAGTCTATCTGAAAGGCATTTATATGAGCTCTCAGTTATGCTATAAATTAATATTAGCCTTTATAAAGTCAAAAAGGCCACTTACGTGAGAATATAAGTTACACACATAAGTGAGGTGAAGTGCTTTTGTGATGTTCAACTTTCTTTTTTGACTTGAGTCTTACTCAACAAGTTTTGGTTTCATCTCCATGCACATCGGAATCCAGGTTTTCCAATTCCTTACACCCATTAATTTATTGAATGTGTTGAAAACATGTAGCTTACTTGGCTTTTGTTTTAAAAGGGTTCCCCTTTTTCGACCTTGCACTAATTATTACATTTTGGTGCCTACCTCAACTGGTGATCTAAAGGAGCTTTTGAAAGGACTACGGGCAATTTACAAGGAATCTTAATCGTGAACCATGCTAACGCGTTGTTTAATTTATTACCCTCCAGAGTGCAGCCCACATACACTGGCAGCAGTGGATAAAGTCTCCCTTGTGCCACAGAATCTCGCTGCACTGCACTTATCTCAAATTCCATCACCCCTTACCGTGTACGTGATGGTTTCTTCGGTGTCCTGTGACTTGACCAGAGCCAGAATCAGCATAGTTAGGAAAAGCTCTTTCAACATCGTGAATCTCAAAGAAAACACAGTACAAAACTGATGCTTATTATCAGCTGCGGGGAAAATAACAAAATTTGTGAAGTAACAAGTAAGGAAGGGAGGGCCGCGAGGTGGGGGAGCTGAGGCTTCCAGCATACCCAGCTTTCAAACTCCTTTCTCATCCCCCCCTCCCCCCCTTCCCCCCTTCCCTCCAACCTTTCTGGGGCCAAATGAGGCACCAAAGGCTGTAATACCGCTGCAGAATTATGTTTCACTTCACTCTATCGGGCTGCGCTCAATATATACAAAGGTACCTATTATACTGCACCTACACGACTGGCTCAAGAAAGGAGGCGGAAGGGAAAGAATAGAGGGTAATTAATTTCAAGAGACATGGCGCATTTTTTTTCCCCAAGGGTGAAGGTGGGGCAACAAACCTCATATCCCCTTGAACTTGAAGGCTTTTCAGTCTGTGCTCACCTTCAGCTAGTGAAGTTCTTTGCACAGCTCAGCAAAAGTACCTGCTAACCAATATCAATTACCTTGGCCTCAGACTTTTTTTTTTTTCCAAACAAAACACCAAAACTGAACTTGGGGGCGCAATCTCCTCCCAGTTCTAGTAGAATACCTGCCCTTCAGAGCTGCTTCTCACATCTCGCAGCACAAACTCTCTTAGTGGTATGTATTTCCACGCGGTTCTCTGAGCGCAGCTTTGTTTAAAAGCCTCAGGTTGTGTGGAAGAGCGTCTGATTCCCTTGTGCCTTATTAGTCCCCGACAAGCTACCTTCAGGGTCTGGGCTGCGTAGGGCCGGAACCGGGGGACCACAGCGCAGCCTGAGGTGCCAGTTTCCGGGCGGCCGGCCTGGCGCCTCCAGGGAGGTGAGGTTCTCTTTCTTAACAGTAAGCTAACAGGCGGCAATCCCCAGAGTTGCTCAGCGCTTCAGTTTCTAACCCGCTCCCATGGAATCCAGGTGCGGCTTAAATCTCGCACGTTGAACCCCTGAAACTTTCAAACCTTGTTTCTGGGCAAAGCCCTGTCTACTGATTGTCGGCGCGCACACACATGCCCATCCAAACAGATGTCACCCTGGTACTTGCACATGATGATAGATCGCATTCCGAGACCGCACACCTCCACCTCCCTCTCTGCCTGAGAGATCCAGCGCAATCTGGGGAAATTCTCGGGTACACTGCGCTCGTCAGATCACCCCCACTTACTCCCTGGAGAGCGGCCCTGCGGGCACTGGGCATACTGGTGTGACCCCCCGTGTCGGGGGCTCCTACCTGCGCGGCCGCGCTGCGCTCCAGGCCCAGGCAGCAAGCGGAGAGCGCAGGGGAGGGCAGCCCCGTGGGTCTGAACTTGCAGGTCTAGCCGCAGCCGCAGCAGCAGGAGGAGGAGGAGAAAGGAAGGCAAAGGGGGAGGGCGAAGGGGGGCGGAGGAGAGAGCTGAGGGAGGCGCAAGGGCTGAGCCAAGCGCTGCAAGCCGGGCGGGAGAGCGCGCTGCGCAGCTGGGTCCGCGCCCCCTGCTCCAAGGGCCCTCTCCGCCACCCCGGTTGCCCTTTGCCAGCCCCTCTTCCCCAGTTCCCAGACACTCCGAAGATGGCTCTTTTGGTGTGTGATGGCTGGGGTTTGAATCAGCCTTGGTGATGCTGCAGCCTCCCAGGCAATTTTTCGTGTCCGCGGAGGGGAAAACATCTCTCCACGAGAGCTGCTGAGGGTCCTGAGAAATTGCTTTTTATTTTAACCACCCAATTAGTGAATTCTAGGAGAGTAAATTAACCCCATTCATAGAACTGGTACTTTTACCTTTTCTTTCAGATGATTTTTGGTTTCTTGGAGTAGGGGAAGGATCAGCTTCATCAAATGTAGAAAAAAGAGCATTCATTCATTCAACAAATTATTTGTGACCTACTACGTTACGTGTCAGGTGTTGAAAATAGGTCAAGTAGAGCTCACACTAACAAAATTGTGAGGTGGGGTTTGTTTTTGTTCTCCCCAAACTTCCTTTTCATGGGCCTCTTCTCTCTTCTACTGCCTTTCTCCTCTCCACTCGTTCATTTGTGGGAGTCCCTAGCGCTGGTCATTCAAAGTTGGGCACTTCACTCTCACCTTTCATACTAATGGTGGAATTTCAGGAATTTGGAGAGAGAAAAAATGTTTTTCTGGCTTCTTCAAATTATACCACATGATTTAAGTTATCTCTGAAGCCTCCAACACTAAAGTTAGATTAATAGTTTGCTTCCAAGGCAGTCATGCCTTCTAAGAAGCAAACAGCCAAACAAAATTTCATGAATGAGACAATGTGCGAACTGAAGGTATTAAGGACTTTGTTCCACAGCTGGAAGCAGAGGGTGGGAGGGAGAGGAACAACTGACCACAGGGGGAAAGGTGGTAGATGGTGTCAGAGACAGGCTGTCTGGTGGAAGCCTCTCCTTATCTCTGGGGTATGCAGTGGGTTTGCCCAGGTCTTGCCAGTTTGGCTCCATGCCACACAGTATTGGACAGGATCAGAGGAGCTTCACATCTTGAACCTTACTTGAGTACATAGGGTTTTGCTAACAGTATTAAAGATTTTTATTACCCAAATTCAAATAAGTTTGTTTTCCTAGTCATTAATGACATCTAAACGTTTCAAAGAAAAACTTGGATCTTTACTTTTGAATAGTAAAAAGATCTGTCCAGGCATTTTCTTTTGTTTCTTGTTGAATTTTTTCTACCTATCCTCAGCTCTTTCCCCAGAAAAAGTGGGTTAAAACTCCCAACGTTCTATCTCCAGCCTGGAACTATTCTCATATACAAGTATACAACTGCTGACTTGTTATCTTCATCTGTAGACCTACTGGGCATTTCATCCTGAACAGGTCTGTTGATTCTCATCCTTTTGCCCAACCTACTCCACCCACCGGCTTCATCATTTCAATTAAAAGCAATTTCATCTTTCCATTTGCTCAGGTCCAATATCATGGGGCTAATCCCTTGATTTCTCTTCTTTTCACACAACCTGCATTCAATTCTTCAGAAAAGTCTGTCAACTTTATCTTCAAAATATATCCAGAATCGGACCACATCCTATCAATTCTTTTGCAACCACCCTGGTCTAAGCTGTCCCATCATCCACTTGGATTATTATAACAGCCTTATAATAGATCTCCTTGCTTAAACCCTTGCCCTCCTGCTATCTTTTCTCAGCAAATGTTCACACAAATGGAATCCTAGAGTATGTACTCTTTTGTGTCTGGTTTCCTTCACTTAACATGCTTTTGAGATGCATCCTTGTTATTGGGTACATCACAACTTCATTCCTTTTTGTTGCTGAGTACTATTCCATTGTATGGATATACCTTGATTTGTTTATCTGGTCACTTGTTGATGGATATTTTGGTTGTTTATGAATAAAGCTGTCATGGACATTCACATAGAAATCTTTGTGTGGACATGTGTTTCCCTTTCTTTTAGGTAAACACTTAGTAGTGGAACTGCTGCACCATATATATGGTAGGGATATGTTTAACTGTATAAGAAAGTGTCAAATTGTTTCCCAAAGTGACTGTACCATTTCACTTTCCTACCAGCATTATGTGAGATTCCATCTGCTCTGTAACCTTGCTAGCATCTAGTATTGTCTTGTCACTTATGATGGGGGGGGGCGTAAGTGACATCTCATTGTGGTTTTATTTCACATTTTTCTGATGTGTTAGTGATGTTGAGCATTTTTATATGATTATTATCCATCAATATATCTTCTTTCATGAAGAGCCCATTCATATCTTTAATCTATTTCTTTATTGTTTTCTTTGTCTTCATGTCAGTTGTAATGTTTTTTTAAAAAATTTGTCTTCCTGCAAGTCCATTGTCAGATATATATTTTTTAAATATTTTCTCCCAACTTTTACCATGCCTTTTCATTTTGTTACTGCTATCTTTTACAGCAAGCAGTTTTAATTTTATGATGTCTAATTTATTAATTTTTTTCTTTTATATTTTGTCCTTTTTATGTACTATTTTAAAAAAATCTTACCTTGGGCAAATCTTTTAAGCTCTCTAAACCTCAGTTCCTGCTCCTGTAAAATGGGGAGGATAATACTCTCTGTTTCTAAGGTTGTGAGGATTGAGTGAGAAACTCATGACAAATACCCAATACATGTGAATGAATGTTCTTAGATATTAGAACATATGGTGTGAAGGGCTATAGTAGATCAGTCCTCCCCCGTAACATAACCCAGTGTTATTTAAGTATCTTTCCTATCCCTAACCATAGGGTGTCTCCTGACTAGTCTAAAGATAATAAACTCAGCAATGCATTTCTCAGCTATTGTTTCCGAGTAGGCCATTGTCCCACTTCAGACCAATCAGAACTGAAGATAAGGGTTTTTCTTTTTTTTTTTCCCCATAGTTAGGGGAAAGATAGAGGGGAACAATAGAGCCCTTTGCCTCATTGGTCACTGGCTGACCTGTTACAGCCCAGAGGTAAGCCAGCCTGAGCACAAAAGTGATACATGCTGTGCGTGGCCAACACATGGAGGGAATCATGGAGACAACCAGGATCCTTGATGAATTGTTCATAGGCCAGACTAACCTGAGGACCCATGATCTTTTTAGTGGTTTTCCACGGTGTTTTATTTTCTTTCAAAGTCAGAAGAAAAAAAATATATATCATCTAGCCTGGATTATATTTGTCTTTATACCATTGCAGTCATAAAATATAATTGTTTTATGGAGGAAGGGGCCTCCAAAGGCAAAAGAGCCTAGGAACCATGAAAGTCACAGGTTACCCTGATTGTTAACGTTTCCAGTTTTTGCACTGAAAGTTCTGTGTCCTGGGAAAGCCCCCTGTCCTAGGCAATCTTAAAAGTTTTGTGTAGAGGAAAGGTATAGTAGAAAGGAAAGAGGACAAGTAGTCAGGAGTTCTTGCCTGGATTTTGGCATGCTCTAGCTGGGTAACCATGGCAGTCAATCAACTTCTTTGAATCAGTTCTGCATAAACATCCACTAGGGTAAAATATTTAGCTGTAGTTATTGTATTGTACTTACCTATTCTTATCACATAGTTTTTTTTGTTTGTTTTTTTACATTTTTTAATTGGGGAATTGGAGGAGGGGAACAGCGTTGGGGAATCGGGGAAGGGGAACAGACAAGTTGCTGTTCTTTTGTTCTTCAGTCTAGTTGTGGAGGACGTTGCTTCATTGGCCCATGTTGGTATTATCATTGTGCTCTTCCCAGGTAAGGCGGATCGGTAGCCGGCCACTGGACGGTCGCTTACCGCTGCTCTTGGCAGCTCACCCTGACTGCCAGCCACTCAGGATACCTTATGGCAGCCCACTGAAGCTTCACTGCAGCCTACATAGTTGCCAGCGACTCACAGCAGCCCAGCTCCAGGTGGAGCTATTGTTCACCATCTTAGCTATAGAGGGCGCCATGTCACTGTCCCTAATGTGGGATCCAAACTGGGGCTCTGCTGCTCAGAGCTGGCGTCCCAAGCCAACTCTGAACCAACAGGCCACTTGGCCAGCCCTCTTATCCCACAGTTTTTACCTGTTCTTTATTTATTCCATTTTCTCCAAGTAATAATATCCTGATTTTCTTTTGGAAACTAACCTTTATGGCAGTAGGCCATGACCAGGCCTGCCTGTAGAATGCCCTTAAGTGTATACAAAAGGAAAACTCCTAGGTCCTAAAAATAAGGAGAAGTGGCCCAGTGCCAGTACAACAAGAATGTCAAGGCCCAGCTCCTGGCAATTAGGCGTGGCGAAGTGGCAGAGTTATTCTATATTGATTTAAGTTGTTTCTGTGTGCTGATGAGATTGGACATATAAAGCATACTGGGCCCACAATTCCAGGAAGGCGGCCTTTTCTACATGAGCTGTCGAGGCTTCTAGGATTTAGGCCTGCCTGTGTGAACTACAAGGCAGGCCAGGAGCTGGGGTATCCACCCTGAACTCTTATTTTATTTAAATCCTTTGCTCACTGATTCTTACTGCCCTTGAATCCAGACACCACTGTTTGGCCTAGAGCGGCGGTTCTCAACCTTTCACAGGGGTCGCCTAAGACCATCGGAAAACACATATTTTCAATGGTCTTAGGAACTGAGACACCGCTCCTCTATCCGTCTCCAGGCCCACAGGCAGATATGCCCACATATGAGTATCCGGCGACCCCTGTGAAAGGGTCGTTCGACCCCCAAAGGGGTCGCGACCCACAGGTTGAGAACCGCTGGCCTAGAGCATACCAGTCCCTGTGGTTTGTTTGGAGCTTATTTTTCCTCTGCATTTTTTGGATGAGCATGTGGCCCAGGCTCTGCCAATAATTACATCAACTCTCCTATAGCTCCAGTGATTAGTTCAGAAACGATAGCTATACCCTAAGATAACCCTCAGTGAGGGGGCAGGGTGCATAGGGCCTG